TGATCTGAGTTACCCAGGCGGGACAGGACAGCAGTGCTGTAAGGGGCAGGATGCGTGGTCAGAAAGAGATCCAGCAGGCTACTGGAGTGTGACGAGACCCGGGGGAAAAAAGTAGGGCTCGTCACCAGCTGGGTCAGCCCTTGAGTAAGAGCGAACGCTTCGACTGCACGACCTGCTGCATCGGTCTTATTTGACCCCAACCAAAGCTCATTATGGGCATTGAAATCACCGAGAAGAACTACCTCTGAAGCGGGGTGATTGATGTTCAGGAAGTCGATCTGGACGGCGAGGAATTCGAATAGGTCATCCCAGTTATGGTTCGAGGGAGAGCGATAAAGGCAGCAAATAAATTTGGGTGATGTTTTGGAGTTGAGGCGAAGCCACAGAATGTCCTTCCGGTCTGATTCCAAAGAAAGATCCCTGGAGCAGGAAAGACTGCTGCGGACAAAAGCCACAACTCCCCCGTTCTTTCTCAGATTGGAGTGCACCTCGTAGTTTGGGAAGTTGAGATGGTTAATCGGTGCAGTCTCTGAGATTTTTGTCTCCGCCAAGAAAAGCACGGCGGGACGATTGGATTGCAGGTAGTGATGAACAGCATCAATGTTGCTGTTGATCCCGCAGATGTTCGAAAAACAAATTTTATCTTCGATGTTGTTCCCTCGAGCCCACCCTCCACCCGGTCATTCCGAGAGTGGAGTGAGTTTACGTCCGTATTTGCACTCTAACTGCAATTGCCCGAAAAGAAAGTCCAGCGTCCCGAAGTCCCACTATACGGCCCCTATCAAACTCACTAAGTTGACGAAATCGTACAGGTCTCCGTAACCGATCGTAAAGGATGTCAAGAACCAAAATCCGCCAACGTTGATTCTTTACTGCGGCTGAAATATTCATTTTTAGAGCGTTAGTGATTAAAAAAAGCAGTATAAAAACCGGAATGTCCAACTGATAAGGCTGAAAATTTTTTCACTTGTTATTTACAGTAAGATAAATACATTCACCAACTTTTATTAAAATAAAACCATTTAAATTGGGTGTTCGGATTTATATGTCACTTAGTATATTTTACCATCACTTTTTGCTAGGTTTCTGGAGTAATATTTTCAATCGCTTCCGTAATATTGTTCTTCAGCAGCTCTACAGTATTTAGTTTGTTGGTATAAACCCTATTTTTCAAAAGTCAGGAGTCGTTAAATCCGGTGACCTTGGTGGCCAGTCGACACCACCAAATCGAGAAATTAAACGTCCCGAAATATTGTTCGCAAAAGATTCATTGTTTCCATAGCTGTGTGACAAGTTGCTTCGTCCTGCTGGAATCACATGCTTTGCAGGTTAAATTGTTGGATTTGAGGAGCCAACAGGTTTTGCACCATATCACAGTAGCGATCGCCAGTGACAGTAAGAGAATTACCTTCGGCGTCTTCAAAAAAGTAAGGTCCAATGGCAACTCCATACCAAACACCGCACCAAACTGTGACTCGACGAGGATGTAGTGATCGTTGATAAATGACACGAGGGTTCTCTAATGTCCAGATACGACAATTCTGCTTATTTACAAATCCGTTCATCGTTCGCTTCATCGCTCATTATCAGTTGTCAGTAAAAATCGTTATTTTGGGTATTAAGCTAAGCTAAGCTAAGCTTTCTTGGTCACTAGACATGAATTTCGTATTGCCGCTAATACTAGCCCGGAAAAATAGTTTCTTGTCAACTTTTCACCCCAAATCCAGTCTGATAATATTTTAGAATTTTTTTACTGTGATATTCATATTCAGCGCCCCAAATTACCTCATTGTGCAAAGCATCGTTCTCATATAGCTATCGATAGTAAAAATGGATTTTTAACACCTTAAAGTCGCAAAAAACGCATAGTTTTGCAATGTTTCGCTAAATAATTAGATCTAAACGTCTAATAAAAAATATCTAAAAACTGTTGCCGGTCTATGATCGAGATGGAAGCTTGTTTTCTGGATAAATCGGGTGCGTAGATTTCAAATTCGATGTCGATACAGTGCTAGAAATTACGGCTAGCCCGGAATAATAGTTTCCTGTCAACTTTTCACCCTAAATCCAGTCTGATGACAATCTAGAATTTTTTCACTGTGATATTCATATTCAGCGCGCCAAATTACCTCATTGTGCAAATCCATCGATAGTAAATATGCATTTTTAGCACCTTATAGTCTCAAAAACGCATAGTTTTGTAATTTTTCGCTGAATAATTAGATCTACATGATAAACGGGATACTATAAATGTAAAACCACCTCGGATTCGGTATTTGCAACCAAAAATACGTGGAATAAAGGTCATTTGAACCGCATTTAAAGCATTTTAACATATAATTACCATGTATATTTGGCAAAAAACCATTGGCGTACAATATTTTTCTTAAAAAATGTCGAGGTCAATAATACCTGTACGCCACTGTTAAAAATAAAAATTATTTTTGCATTGAAAAATATACAGCTTTATTAACTTTCACTACGTACTAAATATCAGTGAAATATCTGAAGCGGTTCTGAAAATATTAATTAATTTCCATTTTTTTTCCTAAAACCACTGATCAACAGCCAAAAAATATCCTAAACAAAATCAACAAAATATTACTATTTTTAATGTGCTAAAACCGGAATGAAACTTATTTTTTCAATATTAGTTCAAGTTTTAGAGATACGGTAATTATATGTGTTCCTGCTGTGACAGTGTTAATATACTGTAATTCACAAGAATGCACGTGCTACATTTTTATATTCGGCAAGGAAAGATGATGTAATCGGCATGATTGTGTTACGTTATACATACGTGTACATTATATTGTTTTATATTAGCCATTTTTTACTCAGTTGGCTGACAGCGTTCATGCAAGATGTCTCGAAAGTGTGTAAACAATCCAGATCAGTTTTGTTATGTGTGTGGTGATGTGACTTTTGCGTCTCAGAGACGGTCTATTACTCCACTAATAACAAAGGCATATCAGCTTTATTTCGGTTGTAAACTAGGTGATCAAGACAAACAGTGGGCACCCCACATCTGCTGTAATACATGTGCTTCAACTCTGAGGAGCTGGTTAAATGGCAAAAAACGGTCTATGCGCTTTGCTGTCCCAATGGTTTGGAGAGAGCCTACAAATCATATTAATGATTGTTACTTTTGCAAGGTACCTTGTGTTGGACAAGCCACATGTATGTCCAAGAAAAAAAAAATCGGTTATTAACTACCCAAACATACCTGTGTGTGTGATGAGACCTGTGCCTCACAGTGACGAAAATCCTATTCCAAAACCCCCAGAATCCTACACTTGCGAATCAGAAAACGAATCAGATCATGGCGATCGAGTGATTCGTCAGTCAGAATTAAATGATCTTGTAAGAGATTTAGACCTTCCAAAATGTGAGGCAGAGTTACTTGGATCAAGACTGCAGCAGTGGGACTTGTTAGAAGACGATGTTTCGGTATGTGTTTTTCGTAAACGCCACAAAGACTTAGAACCATTTTTCAATATGAAGAATAACTTGGTTTTCTGCAGTAACATTAACGGCTTACTGGCGGCTTTAAATATAAACTATAACCCAGAAGAATGAAGATTGTTTATAGACAGTTCAATATTGAGTTTAAAGGCAGTGTTATTGCATATTGGAAATATTTTACCATCTCTTCCTGTAGGGTATGCAGTTCACATGAAAGAATCATATGACAATATGAAGTACCTATTGACATGCATAAAATACGATGAGCACCAATGGCATATTTTTGGCGATTTGAAAGTTGTTGCACTTTTACTTGGGCTGCAGCTAGGCTACGCAAAGTTTTGCTGTTTTTTGTGTGAATGGGACAGTCGGGCAAGGGCACTTCATTACACCAGACAAAACTGGGCTGTTCGTCAATTCCTAGAGCCAGGTGAAAAAAATGTATTATTAGTAGATTCGAAAAAAATTTTATTACCACCACTGCATATCAAGTTGGGCCTAATGAAAAACTTTGTCAAGGCATTAGACAGAGATGGGTCAGCTTTTCAATACCTGCGTCAGAAATTTCCAAGACTAAGTGAGGCAAAGGTTAAAGAAGGTATTTTTGTTGGGCCACAGATTCGAAATATTTTGAAAGATACACAGTTTGAAAACACTTTAACAGGTATTGAAAAAACTGCTTGGAATGATTTCCGTCTGGTGGTCACTAATTTCTTGGGAAATAGAAAAGCTGACAACTATAAAACCCTTGTCAAAAATATGCTGTCATCGTATCAAAAGATGGGCTGTAATATGTCTCTTAAGATACATTTCCTACACTCACACCTGGACTTTTTTCCTGACGATTGCGGAGCCGTAAGTGATGAGCACGGCGAACGTTTTCATCAGGATATTTCAACAATGGAAAAAAGGTACCAGGGAAAGTGGAATCCTTCCATGCTTGCAGACTACTGTTGGACTCTTGGTAGAGATGCTCCAGAAACGATCCATAAAAGAACAGCAAAAAGACAGCGCATATAGTGATTCTTATAAGTATATGAATCTTGTTACTTTTTTTAATATATCCTTAAAAATATTTTTTTTTTCTAAACCGCAACTAATTTTTTTATTTCATTATCATTTTTGGATTCAGCGCCCCAAAATTAACAAAGAAGTGCACTTTTCCCACAAGATACAATTAAAAAACTAAAATTTGTTGTCCAGTGAACACCCCGAGTTTTTGTAAGGAAACATTTTTGGACCATAGTTTATAAATCAAACTAACATTAATTTTTCATGTAGATTCACACTCTTAAATATTCGCATATCATTAAGGAACACCCTGTAGAGTAAATAAATATTACCATTACTATATTTGATAACAGGTTGGGGCATACAAATATGTGAATTCATTCTTGTGTTGTGGCAGGGGACACAACATGGAACCTCCCTGCTTAACCGAAGATTGCAGGCCACCTTTGATTTTTAAGACAATTGCCATCAATTTCAATTATCGTCTGTTGAATTGAATAATTCATGTACACGATGATACTCACATTTCAAAAAAGCGTATTTTTTACAGCAGCAAATACTTAATTTGTAGTAATTATCACAGGTTCCAGCAATAGGACTGCAAAGTTGGTCGCCGAAGTAACACGTGTGAGGTATGAAGGGGAACAGCTCTGAAACAAAAAAAAAACTATTATGTACGAGACCCTTCCCTAGTTTTTTCTTATCAAACACAAATAATAAAAATGTAGCAGGGTGTTATAGGTTTAAAATATTAACAATGAATATTTTGATAATATATAGTAGAAAACACCAGCTTTATCACTCCCTAATCACATTTGCAGCATAAAAATAACACATGTTGCAATTACAGCATATCAACTTATTTTCATTTCAATGCAAAATAAGTCTATAACGCATAGGTGGCTGTGAAAAATAAAAGCCATGACAATTGTTTTTATTTATCACAGCTGTCAGAATACGTTTAAAATAGTTTTGGGTAGTTAAGGTTTTCAAAATGGGTAGAGGAAAGGTTATTAGTGAGAAAATTCGGATACTGATAATTAAATATTTTAATTCTGGGAAATCAAACTCAGAAATTGCAACTTTGTTAGACTGATCGCGGTGCAGTGTGAGAAATATTGTTAGAAGATATAACGTAACTGGTTCAGTTAATATTAAGCCACGATATGCGAAAAAAAGTAATATCACAAATGCCGACCGAAGAGCATTAAGAAGAATAATCGTGAAAAACAGGCGTGCCAATTATTTACAATTAAGTGCTCTGTGGAGTGTCGCTGTTGGAAGGAGAATTTCGAGGTCCACAACTCATAGAGAGGCCCACAAACTGGGATTTAGCACTTGCAAGGTAAGTTTTCTTATACAAAAAAAGTGAAGTAAAAACCCTAAAGTTGTCCAACTTGTTTATAGGCCAAAGAAAAGCCACTATTAACTCCACTGCAAAAGAAAAATCGGCTTAGATGGGCTGAAGAACGTAGACAATGGACACCTCAACAATGGTGTGCAATACAATGGAGTGATGAGGCCCGATTCGAAGTTTGTGTTGGTGACAGTCGTAGAGTTATTCGCAAAAAAAAATGAAGCATTTCATGTTGACTGTCTGAAGAGAAAAGTGAAATTTCCAGCATCCATTATGGTCTGGGGCAGTATGTCATCAAAAGGAGTAGGAAAACTTCATTTTATTGATGGAAATGTGGATACAAACAAATATTGGGCAATTTCAGAAGAATCGCTTTTACCAGTGATGGAAGAATGTTTGACATCCGGCCAAGATTTTGTGTTTCAGCAAGATAGTGCAGCGTGCCATACCTCAAAAAAAGCTATAAAATGGATGGAAGAAAATAATGTACCACTTTTGAAATGGGTTTCTAGCAGTCCAGATCTGTCATTGAAACTTTGTGGCACGAGATGAAAAAGGTTCTACGACAACATCCTGCTCGTACAATCACCGAACTTAGACAAAAGCTTCAAGAAATATGGGATTGTTTTACACCAAATTTTTGCCAAAACTTGGTTAACACTATGCCCCAAAGAATTTCAGCCGTAATAAAAAATAAAGGTGATGTTACCCAATGGTAATCTTTCAATTGTTGCTTTGTTAACTTCGCGCTTTTATTCGCACATTGTTTATTTGTTCAGATTTTCTATTAGTTATAGGTCAAATATGTATTTTTTACGACTAGAGCGTATCGAAAATGTGTTTGAGAAAATAAATTGTTTTAGAAGTAAATAGTTTCGTCATGTTTAGTTTATAAAGGTATATTTTGGTACAAACCTTGAAGTGATCCAACTGAAGTGGGAAGGGGCTCGTAGTATATATTTTCCACTAACCAAGGATTAAGAACTATTGACTCATCAATGGACATCATCACTTGTTGGTACCATACATTGAAAACCAAATTTGTCTAACAGCGTAGAGAATAAACTAACGGCTATGTTCCACATACACGTTAATTCAAGGAACTGGTTAACCTATTTGCTGGTAAGTCGACTCCCATCTCTTTCTAACATAATATGTGCTATACACAATTCTAGCGCTTCTGTCTCGTGCACATTGAACGCCGTCTGGCACTGGCGCTTGGCGCTCCCACGGGGGGAAGGGGGGGGGGGTTGATTTTTTATTTTCCACGCATAAGCCAGACAATTAATTTTTGTTTGTTTTTAATTTTTATACTTTAAAAGAATCGTATCAAAAAAATATCCCTATTCCACACACTTGAAAAATAATGAAGAAGTGAAATGTTATTTATCAAAAAAAACATTTTGAGAAATTTCCTTGGCTGTCATATTCAGAGGAAACAGAAGGGCTTTTCTGTAAATATTGCGTGGTTTTTGCAAAATTAGGAGGAGTACATAAATCAACTAAATTGGGAAAACTTGTTACCGTACCACTAAAGAAATTTTAGAAATTGTATGGAAAAACCAGTGATTGTGAGACAATGAGAACTAAATATATACTAAGTGACATATAAATCCGAACACCCAGTTTAAATGGTTTTATTTTGATAAAATTTTGTATAAGTACTTAATGAAGCATAATAAGTAAATGATAAAAATTTCAAAATGATTGCACTGCTTTAAAGCCCTTTGACCTTTAATAATGTGAGGATGCACCCTGATGTGCTACGCATTCTCCAACGCGCCTAGGCATGCTTCTGATCAGGTGGTCAATGTCCTCCTGTAGTATCTCATTCCAGGCAACCACCAACTCCTCTCGAAGTGCTTCTAGAGTCTGAGGAGGACGTTGCAAATTGAGCAATCTCCTACCCATCATATCCCACACGTGCTCAATTGGGGATAAGTCGGGAGATCTTGGTGGCCATGGTAACAATGTGACATCATTATGTTGAAAGAAGTCTATTGTGACTCTTGCAACATGTGGTCGGGCATTATCTTGTTGGAAATTTGGATCTGCCAGGGTGTCAAGATAGGGTAAAAGATGGGGTTCTAGAACTTCGTGGATATAACGCTGCGCGTTCATGTTACCTCTGATGAAGATTAAAGGTGACCTGGAACCATAAGCTATAGAACCCCAAACCATAACTCCAACAGTGTGATGAACATGTCTTTCAACAAAAAACTGTGGATTCCTTTTTTCACCACGTCGCCTTCTAACCCTGGCACGACCATCGTGCATGCCTAAACAAAATCGAGACTCGTCACTAAATGATCCCAGAGTGACCGTTGTCTGCACCACTCAAGGCGATTACGTCGGTGTTCTCGAGTTAAAGGGAGGACCCAGTGTGGCCGGTATGAAAACAATCCAAAACTTCTCATTCGTCGGCAAACACTTCGCATGTCAATAGGTCTTCCGTGTTCTGCAAAGCATTCATTTGCAATGGACCTGGTAGTGGAGAAACGGTCCCTTAAGGCCAATAATCTTAAGCGGCGATCTTCACGGTCTGTTGTTCTACGGCGGCGTCCAGTGCCCCTTGCTCTTTGCGTACGGCCTTCTCGAAGCCATGCCTGACAACACCTAACCACAGTGTCTACACTTCTTTGCAGTCTAACTGCAATTGCCCGAAAAGAAAGTCCAGCTTCCCGAAGTCCCACTATACGGCCCCTATCAAACTCACTAAGTTGACGAAATCGTACAGGTCTCCGTACTCTAGGCATCGTCACCGATCGTAAAGGATGTCAAGAACCAAAATCCGCCAACGTTGATTCTTTACTGCGGCTGAAATATTCATTTTTAGAGCGTTAATGAATTAAAAAAAAGCAGTATAAAAACCGGAATGTCCAGCTGATAAGGCTGAAAATGTTTTCACTTGTTATTTACAGTAAGATAAATACATTCACCAACTTTTATTAAAATAAAACCATTTAAACTGGGTGTTCGGATCTATATGTCACTTAGTATAAAAACAATCTCTAAATATTTGCATGGAGTAAATAGTAACGGAAACAAAAATTTAATAAGTACTAGATTAAAAGCAGAATTCGACCTTTGGAAGCCATGTACACAAGATATTATAGACAGTGGAATGTCACTGTATTTATCATGTGATGAAAACAGTTTTCCCTCAATTAATAGATGCCTACAATTATTGATTTCATTGCGACATCTGAAATAAGTTTCTCCTATCTAAAGAGGATAAAAACTTGGCTGCGCTCCACTATGTTACAAGAGCGATTAGTGGGTTTAGATATTTTGTATATGCATAGGGATATTAAAATTGACGTGAATACAATCATAGATCGGTTCGCCAGCAAAAAGGATAGCCGCCTTGATTTTGTAATATGTAACACCTGAACTTTGCCTAAGGTTGTCTCTCAAATCCATCTCCCTTCTGTTGGCCAATAATTAAAAAAGCAGACCACGGTGATCTTTTCCAAAGTATCCAATGAAGATATGTGGTTTTATTTATTGGCCAGCAGATTGATATAAAAGTCTGTTCAAATTCTGTTCAAATCACTTTCTAAGCTAATGTAATGATTGTTTTATTTTGAGAGTGTGAACTAATGTAGTTTCATAGTTTATATGTCTTTGTTTTTTGAGACTGACTAAGAGAATGTAGTTATGCAACGAATATTTTTTTGTTTTTCTCATGATTAAGAATTTTATTTTGATTTATATTCAGTTTTATACTTTATAGAAGTCGTAACATATTTGTTATTGTTATTTTTTTCATGAAGATGTATTTTAGTTGTTTTGTCTAACATTTTGATGAGGAAAAGTCTGTGATAGATTATATTATTTTGCATTTTTGTTTCAATATATGACGATTGGTCGAGCTTGGTCTGCTTTATTTACACTTTGATTTCCTATGATTCAAAATAAAAAAAAATATGTATACTAAGTGACATATAAATCCGAACACCCAGTTTAAATGGTTTTATTTTAATAAAAGTTGGTGAATGTATTTATCTTACTGTAAATAACAAGTGAAAAAATTTTCAGCCTTATCAGTTGGACATTCCAGTTTTTATACTGCTTTTTTTTTAATTCACTAACGCTCTAAAAATGAGTATTTCAGCCACAGTAAAGAATCAGCGTTGGCGGATTTTGGTTCTTGACATCCTTTACGATCGGTTACGATGCCTAGAGTACGGAGACCTGTACGATTTCGTCAACTTAGTGAGTTTGATAGGGGCCGTATAGTGGGACTTCGGGAAGCTGGACTTTCTTTTCGATCAATTGCAGTTAGAGTGC